AAAACCGTTATTTTAAATTCGTTTTAAATTGTATGTAGCGTTAGCCTATACAATTATCCTAATAATAATTGAATTGATTTGAAGGTTAGCTTCAGGGGCGTCGCCTGGACCTGGAAACATTCGGGGCTTAGCCCACAGTGGCAGCGCTACAGTCACATTTTCTACTGTATTTCCCACACGCACATACACAATTGCGCCATCTGGTGTCACAAACGTGTGTCTGCATTAGCTTTGTTACGGCAATGGATTGTGGGAGATTCTCATAGCACGTGAGGATCTCTTGAGGGTAAGGTGCCTGTATTATCTCGGTGGACAAAATGTATGTTTTTATTTTATAAGGACAATAACGTACTGTTGTGTTTGTTTAGTTTAATGTTAATTGTTTAATGAACAATTGTTTAAAAAATCAAAGAATCTGGTTTATTATTTAAAAACACTTTATTTTCCAATTAAATCATAAACTATGTCAAATTATTAGAAGTTGTTAGTAATCATATTAAACAGAAAAAAGGGATGGAAGGAGGAAATAATTGTAATTGTCTTGTCTGTTCTGGTGTTCCTGTTCATTGTTGTCTCCATTGTCGTTCTTGTCTGTTGTATCTCCTTCTTGTGTGTCCCTTTCTCCTGTTCTCCTTTCTTCATCCTCTGTTTGGCTCATCTGTGATGACTGTGTAGGTAAACACAAACAAGTATGTAAGTCAATCAGTTTCCAGCTTTGTCAAATAAATGAATTTCAAGATACACACATTTGTCTTCATTAAAATGAGTGTCACCACACTGTCACAAAATGTAATACCAACCAATTCAAAATAGTTAAATGTACATCTCTTGTAGATATCACTGTTAGAGTAGTTATCTGCCAATAGGACATAATCATTTCCTATACAAATGCAGTTTGAGTAATTCACTTAATATATTCACTTCACACTTTAATAGTCATTTTCACTTAATACTCTAATATAGTCATCTTTCTGCATTCAACACTTAGGAAAGCTGTACAATTTGACATGATAATGAGGAAAAAAGGCCTCCGACAATGCAGATCATTTTTTGATCATATCAATTTTAAGATGGGGGTCAAGGCTTAATATCTGGGAGCATAGTGTCCCTTGCCCCCTTTCAGGAGCCCCACCTGATTGGCTTTGATCTGAAAGCTTGTTAGCTGGCTGTCCATCTCATAATGTACACATAGAAACTAGCTGTCAATAGGAAATATCAATCAGAAGAATTATAATTTCATGCAAAAATCTGTCACAAAAAGAGTTGTACATTTAAATTCAGGTGTTATTATGGCAACGTCAGTGGCCAAACAGCCACATTTACTGCTGCAAATACGTTCAAACATGCTGTTGACACGTAAAGCAGTGGCAACTATGCCACCATTGCAGCTGACTTTTTCTCAGAAATACCGTCACATAACATCCATATATTTCAGTGCTAGGTTGATGCTTAGCTAAGCTAACTATGAAACACTTTAACTGACAGGACTCAGGAATCAACTGTGTACTGTAAGGTAGCTTGAGCTTCTAGCTTCATGTCGAACACTCACAGTAAGTCAACATTTCCCAGAGAGCTTTCTTTTAAATCACCAGGTAACGCTAAAAAACACAACATTTAGATTTTATGACAAAGTGTTTATTTAATATATCTGGCTAGCTATAGCTACTTGCTAACGGTTTAGCTTACCCCCGCGATTCAAAGTAACGTCAACGTAGCTATAATTTATGCTTTGCTTACATGTTGACATAACTTGTAAGTTTACTGACATTTACATACCTTGTTCACCTGGCTCAGGTGGTGGCTCTGCTCTGGGGTTGTTGTGTGAGCCACCACTTGAGAATTGCCGTATTTTTTATTTTAAAAATGTCTAATGTCCATCTTCAGATACTCCGCGTCCGCGGCTGAACGTTTAAAGTTTAAACACTGTCACAGAGGAGAGGTCAGCCAATAAAACACGTTTATCTCCATACAACTCTCTGATTAGTCTGGTGGTTGCCTCTGTTGCATTCACTGAACACGGGAAATTACAATTCTGCCATCCTCTCTAGGTAAAGTACGGTTAATGTATTATATTATTGAGGGAGAATTTGTCCGGGGCTAAAGAAAAAACATCCGGGGCTAAAGCCCCGGATGCCTACCCCAGGCGACGCCCATGGTTAGCTTCATGTAACCTTTTGAAATTAACGTATGGCTTTTACTTAATATTTCCTTTAATTATAATAGTTACATCACAGCATGCATTTTTTCATGTATAAAACTATCCGAAAGACACTTGTCTTAATAGTATCCTATTCCCAGTTTCTGAGAAAAGTCTAATATAATGACACCTTATAGGCAGCCAAATGAAAGGACATATAAGGGAGTGTAAGGTGTGTGTGTGTGGGATTTGACCATTTAAACGTGAACATGTAATATGATATAGTTTGCTGAGAACATTGGAGAAATAGCTGGAAAGGCAATTAAACCGTTTAAGCAGCCTACTGTATAGTACTATACTTAGCACATGGTCATTGTCAATTCTTTTTTATGTCGAGGCACATTTTTATTTCTCCATTCATGCTGATAAGCTTGATTATTACTAAGAATTGTCTTCAAAGCAGCACTTTGAAGTTATGTACTGTATGAATTTCTTCTTTGAGGGCAATTGGCGTCAAAACACTCAGAACTTAAATTAAATTAATGATCTTAGTTTATTGTCCTTTTGTTGCAGGAAAAACAGAATTGAACACAAACAAACATCACTTGTGTTCACTGTGTAAGAAGTGCCTTTGCACATAAACATTGTAATTTAAAATGTAATGTAGGCACTATTTTAGCGCTGTGCACCGGGCTTCTGTGCGTCATGCTTCTTGGTTTCAACATCAAAGCTCATGAATGCATAACCAATATGTGCTGATACATGTGGTATGGATTCATTTAGCATGTGTCCTCTCCTGTGTTTGAAAGTTGTGATGTAATGTAATAAAAGCTGATTTAAGATGCATGCCAAATCCAAGAAAAACACCTCATTGCATAAAATACATATACATTTTATATACATCATTTATATATATATATATCAGGGTTTCCAACTTTGGGTACCTGGCTGGAGTGAGATTTTGATATCATGGGTTTAATTACACATATGCGCACTAAATGACTGCTATCGTGTCAGCAGCGGGACCTTAGCATATATATAGCATATATACAATATATACAAAACACAATATTGGACACAGACTATAAAGGGCACAAAGTTTCATTCACTAATGAAAGTCAAACACATGTTTGTTTCCACTGTTTTGTCGCGATAAGCAATTTATTGACTTATTGTACGATAAATAAAAATGACCTCGATAAATTGCCATTTACATGAGGATGTGACTAGCAGTTTGAAAGGATGTACTTGCATTATTATTATATATTATCATTATGTCAGTGGTCTAAAATGGTCATACAACGGTGCCGACAATATTATCGTTTATCGCAATAATTTCCGGGAAAATGAATCCAACCAAATTAATTATCATGAGAGGCCTATACATGACACACACACACACACACACACACACACACACACACACACACACACACACACACACACACACACACACACACACACACACACACACACAAACACATCTACAGACTTACTCCAAACTGCCAAATATATTAATTAACGCACTCTCACTCTCATATACTCTTTGACTCTATTTTTGGCCTAGTAGAACAATAACCAGCAGACTTTTACTTTTTATCATTTCTACTGGATCTTAGATCTGCGCATGCGCAATACGGGTTGGGGATTGACCAACCGGCTCCCACTGCTCTGCTGTCTGTTAACGTTGTTAAGAGTGGTGGGGACGGGGAGGAAGCGGATCAACAGCTTGAGAAGCTGTCAACTCAACATTGTAAATAACCAACCAAAAACGATCGCCGGTTCATCTTGTTTTTGGTGTGAGAATAGTTTGGGCAGCGTGAGAGCGTGAGATTGAGAGTGAAAGTGTGTGTCACACGCCAGATGCGTGAGAGTTGGCAACCCTGATATATATATATATATATATATATATATATATATATATATATTTGAACATCTGTACTAATCAGTTGTTATGTCTCAGATAATCCCCACTGTAAATGTATGCTTTTGCTGAAATATAAAAAGCTTTCTGCAGTTTTGCTGATTAAACCAAAGCCATCCAGGGAGAAAATCAGGGCAAGTATGTTTGAAGCTAATCAGTTTCTTTGAAGAACGATATTGTTTTAAACCTGTAGGAATGTGATTAAACGTTTCTCTTATCAATGTTCACCAGGCTGTTGTGAAATCATCACAGGCTCTGCTGTTCTCATAAATAGAATTAAAGTAACATTTTTGATAAACTGAAGTCCAGGTGAGTCACAGTCCTAATGCTGATTCAAGTGTTATGAAGTAGTTTAAAATGGAAACCTACTAAAGACTAGGTCAAACATGCCCACACGACTTAGTGGGTTTATAGAACTGTGGTGAGAAAAGTGTTGATACAATTCTTAGAGTGAAATACAACATTAAAACAAACATTGAATACTTAGATAACCTTGACCATTTCTGATAAGCTACACACATAAATAGTAATTATATTTGTTTCTCTTCTACTTAAATTTCATATCCAAAAATAAGTCCTTAGTTATTAGAAACGGTTGTTGACACAGAGTCCGTCATTGTTATGATTGTTGTCTGTATAACTATTTGTTCACACTGGAGACTATTTTTATCTCTTATTTACTACGGAAACATGATTGCATACTCTGTCTTTAGCTGATTAAGAGAAATCTGTTGAGACTTGCTGTCCTGTTGAGGTCTTGACATTTTAATACTTTGTGGATGATTCACTGCCTCATTATACCAAAAAAGTTATCTTTGAATGCTGAAGGGAACATCTGGCTTGATGAAAGTGGTTTTCATACCTGACCTTGCGACCAACTGTGCTGTTGATTGGATCTTTTTTTTGATCGTTATTGTCCTTCTGTCCATTTGTTCTCAGGTTATCAGGGTTCCAGCTGCCTTCACCCATTGTGACTACAGGCTCCAGGATCACACTGTGGCTACTGTCTGACTACGCGGTCAGTGGACAGGGATTTAAGGCTGTCTATGAAGGTAAGACAACTTTCATATCATTTGTTTTGTGTTACATCAAAGATTACCATGTTGCTATCTTTTCCTCAAGGTTCAAGGTTCTTTATTTTGTCATACGAACATAGCTACAGTGTAGTTATGGCGATGAAATTCTTAGGTCACAGGCTTCTCCAACAGTGCAACACAAAAACACAGATAAACAGAAAAATATACTGCAAGTAAAAAGTAAATACAAAAAGAAAGATAGTTGAAAAAAAAAGAAGTGAAATAGTGCAATAAGAGTCTATGCAGGGGCGCACATCACTTTTTGCCCTGGTTCTCAAAGGTGCACCTGGAGATGTTGCTTTGTGCGCATCCATAAAATGAAATAAACCGGACCTTTTGAGGGGTACTTGACTTTATGAACGGGGGGGGGGGGAGGTGCGCTAGTGAGCACGCAGCAGGGTTACTGTGCGGAGCGCATAAAGCAGACCCTTCTCGCGATAGCGAGGGATCGCAGATGCCGTCGTGCTCGTGGACGGATTAAAACAATTAAACCTTAATAGCTTGCGGTTTTATACTTTGGCGGCCGTTAATACACCTGGGCGGCCCGCCCAAGTAAAGTCTATGTGGGAAACCCTGCTATCTTACCAGTTCTTATGCAACTTGCAAATATCTCTCTCTCTTCTCTCTTTTCTCTCTCTCTCTTCTCTCTTTTCTATCTCATCTCTCTTTTCTCTCTTTTCTCTCTCTCAATGTTGGTGCGCAAATGCGCCTTTTTTCAAATGATCCGGTGCTCTTTTTTGGAGGGGGGTGCGCACCTGCGCACCAGTTATGTGCAGCCCTGTCTATATGCAAGTTATTGGAATGATATATTAGATAAATAATTACTAAGTAGCAGATGAATGTTATGGATGTTGTTTCAACAGTTCAGGTGATTAACAGATGTTGTTTCAGCAGTTCAGTTGTTTAACAGTCTTATTGCCCGTGGTATGAAACTGTCCCTGAGTCTGGTGGTTTTAGTCCGGATGCTGCGGTAACGCCTGCCAGACGGCAGCAGACTGAACAGTTTGTGGCTGGGGTGATGGGGGGTCTTTTATAATCCGGAGGGATTTCTTCCTTAGCCGCTAGGAGTAAAGGTCCTCCATGGATGGCAGCTCCGTCCTGGTGATGTTCTGTGCAGTTTTCACCACCCTCTGTAAAGCCTTACAATTGAGGGCGGTGCAGCTGCAGTATGGAAAACGAGTCACCAAGTACTTGAGGAAAAAGCCTCATAAGTCACTTCAGCGATTGTGACTGTGTGACTGATATTCAAGTTAAATCTCCTTGAATTCCTTTCTTCATAATTGCTCTTATGTCAGTAAGTGATGCCAATAATTAGGCCGGGATCTTTCAGCCACTCCCATTAGAGCAGCATAGCTTGATGGCTTTAGAGCTACTGAGCTAGAATCTTTCAAATATTCTAACAAAAGGATAAAAGAAAGCAGGAAGGAGAGAACATGGTGTACACAGTGACTCTGGTTAGAGTTCTGGTACAAATGATCTTGTGTGCACCAAACTGATTGTATTATCATACCGTTTTAAATCCATTCTATCCAGCTAGGTTATCATCTCTCTTCCCAGGCCAGGAGAAGAACCTTTATCATGGTGACTCGGAATGCTTTATGACCCATGGCCGGATGATTTTAATGATGGCAAATTTCAGATGCACGCAGGAGGAAAAGGCGAGCTTAGGGAGGGGAAGGATATACAAGAGAATGACTAATTAGGCTAATTACCTGACAAGAGTTTGACACTCTTTTTGAGACATCCTGAATGTGGGGATGTGGCTCAGGGAAGCAACATCAAGGGACTCTGGAGGCCTAAGACCACATTGCATGACTCGATGAATCGTAAGAAAAAAGAGCAAAGAGACTGTTTGTTAACTCCACTGGGAGGCAATTGGGGTATTGTGGCTTTCTTTGGCACTAGTGGAAATATACTTGTCAGACTTGTCTAGCTTCTGACCTTGGATGATGCATCTGCGTCTTGCTTCAAATATGTTTGAAGAAACATGTTTTGAAAACTGGCAACTAGTGATTTAACGTAGTAAGTAAGTACTATTTTGATAGTTTGAAAACTAGTGCTGGGGGGGAAACGATTATTTTGAAAACGATTAATCGGGCGATTATTTGATCGATTAGTCGACTAATCTAACGATTATTTTTCTGTTGTTCAATTCATAAAAAACGTAATGTAAAAAAAACGTAATGTAAAAAATAATTTTTTCACGATACTGTGTCTCAGGGGATCTTAATATTTAAGAACCTATTAATGTGTTATACCAGATTAACGGAAATAATCTCAGCTAACTGACGATACAAACCATGTTTACCAAAACAAAACACAAGTCTCATAAGAAGCATCTAAATGACCCCTGAGCGAAAAATGCTAACGGACATTGGCACAGAACTCAAGATAAAAGTACCCTTATTACTTATCGTAGCTGCACATACAATATATCCGATTAAAGCTGAGACTCCACAGATTATGTAGGTATATAGTATTATCACTGAGTGATCCGGACTCGCGACAGGGGAAGCAAATACAGTCATCACAACACGTACCTTCACAGAGCTTCTAGGGAGATCGTCTCACCACCGTAGCTGTCAATCTGATCAAAAGACGTGTTCAATGCTATGGTTCAATGGCATTCAAATGAGAAAACCACAGCTAGCTGCTGCTTCTGCTAGGCTATGCAGCAGTCTCAGTGAGATATAAATATCTTTGCGTTTTGGACTAACTTTAAAATATTCCCATGCTTTTGAAGACCTAGGGCGAGATGTTTTCGTTTGGGGGCTTCGTGCGCAATCCTGTGAGGAGGAGGTGGTAGCCGTTTCAGTCTCCATTGTGTTGGAAGCGCGATTGCGAACTGCTTGTTGCTTTGGGTGACCCACGTGTGTGTAGCGACGCGTCGACGCGGAAATATGTCGTCGACGATATTTTGAAGTCGACGCGTCGACGCGTCGACGCGTCGCTACAGCACTATTGAAAACATACTATTTGAGCTACTACTTGTCTTTCAATTGTGCACTACCTGCTGTGCAATCACAAGGCCAAGATAATATGGTCAAATAATGAAAATCTTAACTCTTGTGTTATCTTCCACACCAAGGGTATTAGTTCAGGCATATCAAACATGTTGAGAAACTGGGGAGATAAGTGCAAAGCCATAATTACCTGCCACACACCTAACATGACACTGGTGATACCAACTGTAATGACCCATGTCACATGGGAAAAGAGAGAGGGCTGCTGTGCTGACATGTGGTGCTGCCCTGTAGGTTAGAGTGAATGTTAATTGAACAGTGAGAAGTACAGGAGATATGCAAAGCACAGCATCAGGTCACTGTCACTGAATAGATGGCAGACCACCCACAGTTGGCCTTTATTACACAGGATAAGCACACACATGAATCTTAGCACACTTCTTCAAATGAGGTGAAACAGCATCTCTTTTCTACTTCCCTTCATTCTGTTCTGTTATATTGTATTCTGCTCTTCCTATGCACCTCTTTGGCAATTTCCTCATGGCTCACGGGGGTTATTTGACTTCCCTCTGAAATCCTGCTACGGCTTCCTGGAACAGAGGCAGAGATAATACACCTCCATCCAGCGGCTAGACCTGCGTTATCTGGTTGCTGATTACAGTTAATGAGGCTTACAATCAGCTGGATGGTAAGAGCAGCCTGGGTAATGATGTATATTACATAGTAAATCATCATTTCAAATATTTATGTTATGCCAGTTCAAAACATTTAGTGAAGAGATAACAATCTTTTTTTAACCAGACCTTGTTTTAACAAACTTAATTATAAAATTGGCCCAGTTTACAACACAATAGATATTTTCCTCTTCTCAGTGTTTTCTGGCCGCCTCTGAGCTGTGTGAAATGTTGTTCTATTCAACTACCCAGGCAGCCGAGAAACACCAGGAAGGTGTCACAGAAGCTGACACACTGCTTTGTGCTGTTTTGTTTGAAGTCTGTTTGACCAGAAGCAACTGGCATAGAGCCACTGTGCTGCTTTGATTTGATTAGTTTGCAGTTAGAAGAAGTGCACAGTGGTCAGCAGGGGACACGACCAAAGATTGGACATAATCAGAGATCCCACTGTGTATCGGCTCAGGAAGTTACCAGTATCTGTGGGTGATTTAGTATTACTGACATTAATCGTCCCGAATTTACCCCTTCAGTAAATGATTACAAAACGCATTCCATTTAGCACGAGCTCTGCATGTCACATTATCCTTTGCTCAGTTGGAGTTTTCTGCATTAACACTTTATTACGCTCCATTTGAGTCAAAGATACACATAAACAAACAACGTGGTACTGGGCCAGTCATTGTCCTCTTCGCTGCACATGTTGCCCTTTTTTAGCAAAAAAGCTGTTGGAAAACCACACAACTAAATACATTATATAATTCTACAGAAACTCACTTCTGAGATAACAGCCATTGTTATTTGTTTTCCTTAGCAATGTTGACACATAGACTCCCCTTCGCTGTTTCCAGTCCCCACACAAAACAATGAAAGTTGAGTGTGTTATGTCAACTTCTTGTTAACTTATGATTAATGTACTTTAAAGTTAAGAATGAACAGCTGTGTGTAGGCTGGTATTACCCAGGATGCAGATCAGCTGCGTCACAGCATTGATGTAGCTGTGTCACGTCTCTGCCATGGTTTGAATGGTCGAAATGAGCAACAAGATATTTAAATGTGCAAATGTTTTAACTTAATCTTGGATAAAATTAATATGTGAACTACAGATGCTAAACATGAATATACATAAGAATACTTTGTATGTACTTATATATATTTATCTATATCTATCCATCATTAATCCTCTACTCCTCAGAGGAAACATAGCATTGTGGATTTTTTTGGGTACCAGCCTGACATTTGGGAGCCAATCATTTTTATATTACACTGTTGCTTCATGTCTGGCTGGTTGTACAGGACAAGCTTTCCCCCATCTCAAGCTGTTGTTGTGCCTGCTCATTCC